AAAAAAGCATGAAAAGGACAGCTTTTCAGACAAAGTGCAGAAGTGGAAGCTGAAGGAAGACCACAAAGGTGATGAGCCAGAATCAGATGATGCTGGTGAAAGTGGTAAAGGCGATGCAACAGTAGCAGCAAAGAGGGACTTGTCTAAGACAAGAAAATACAAGAGGTTGTCCGATGCAAATGCAATTCACCAACACAACTCAGAACATGCACATGGCCTCAGTAACAGTACATGGCCTATGATAAGTAACATGCACGTTTGTTTTTCACAATATAACACCACAAGTTTAGGTATATGTTTGTATCCTGATGTTATTCTATAGAATAACCTCAAGGTTATGTTTCAAAATAGACTATTTCTCAGTCTAAATTCAAGTCTATTTAAAATAGACTAATAGTTAGAAAATAATCTAGAAAAGCTGTTCTAACTATTAGTTAGGAAATAGTCTAATCTGGTCTTAGAGGATCTATGGTGACTGCATTTCACGCTACCAACCTTGGAGCGCTGACTTCAATCATGCGACGGGGGCTAGTGCCAGGAGGTCTCGGTTCATCGGGAAGGGATTCTATCCACTTCACATGTTTTCCGCCATGAGCCTGGGAGCAGGGCTACAAGGGAAAACCCTGGCTGGGTCGTAAGGTCGCATTGAGTGATCGCCCAGTGGTTCTCTACATTCCGGTGTGGAAGCTGCAGGAGTACGGGCTTCTCATCTCAGCGACTGGCTCTCTATTGGTTGAGAACGTCGTTCCCTTCGATGAGGTTAAAGGGGCATGGTTGCAATGCGACAATGCGGAACCCGGAAAGCCTGAGGAGATCGAATGGATCAGGTTACTCAATAGGGAACCCGACCCTGGGAGCTACCTTGTTCTGGAGTCCAAATACGGAAACCCGATCATGATCCCACGCTATCAGAAGCTTGAGAGTTTAGCGGTTGAAGTTCAGGACGATACCTACTCCGAGGACGACGCCAAAATCTCAAAACTATTGGGTATGATCGAGGAGAGTGGCGTGCACCCAGAATATGATAGCACCGAGTGGCAGGAAATCTTTGAGGAGATCGTGTACCGCCGGGCAATGAAAGACTATGACCCAAGGCCGTGTCCTAACTGTCTTGGCGAAGTCGATGTGCGGTTGACGGTATGTCCGCACTGCGTAGCGGTTTTGATCGCGAATGGGAAACTCACGCACGTGGTACCCAAGGAGACAAGAGACCGCAATCAACGATCACCTCCGAAAGATGTCCCAGCCAGTTCTTCCGGTGAAGCAACCTCTGCTGCAGGTGCAAACATCGATGAAGTCATCAAGAATGCACGCAAGACAGCCGAAGAGGTCATTGAGGTCGAGGAATCCGAAGGAGAGGAAGAGGAGGAAGTTCCTATCATTTTGAAGGAACGACCGGACGAAGCTGAAGGCGAACCCGAATATCGGGAGGTCCCTCAAGATGGATACGGGAATGAACTTCCGCAGCCTTTCCCCTTCGCAATTGACGAATTGCCACAAGAAGCTGCGATCCCCATCGACCACAACTTTGCAGTCACACAGCAGTTTGATCTGAGGTTGATGAAGTTGATCAAGAGCTTGGCCAACGCGACGTTCGACATCAACTGCTTTGAGAGTCGTGAAGACGTACTGCGAAGGTTCGACGATGGACAGCGGCATGATACTCCGTACAATAGATGGCCAATAGTACCGAATGATCCGGATACTGGGTTTCCAAGACGTCTCCAGAGAGCCGAGGTCGTAGGCATGAACAAATGGACCAACGACACGTTTGCGACAGAGGCGTGGCAGATCTATGAGTTCCACGCCCATGTTGTACACCCGATGATGATCACTGCAATCCGCTGCGGGCTTAGCCACAAGTACCTCAAGGAGGTCGGCAGCACTCGGCGTAACATGAGTGATCCGAAGGCTCGAAGGTCTGAGACCCAGGAAGAGATCATCGAGAAACTGGCATTCATCTCAAACTTCATCAGACGCTTGATCAGGAAGACCTTCGGAGCGAGCCGATATAGCTACTACCAGAAGCCAGATGACGAAAGTGCCGCTCCATACAAATTCATCGACATTAGCCCCGCCATCAAGTCGGAGCGGAAGAATGTCACGAAGGAGATCCTCGTTGCATGCCGCTACTATGGCATAGAGGTATCCGATATCCAAGCACAGAAATTGAAGCTCTTCGAGAACCAGATCCGAGCGGGAAATCCGAGGAACGTCGAGCTCATCAAGGACTACATTGGCTTTGTCGGCGCTGACTACATGCGGCAACTCACGAATGGTTGAGCATTGGGGTCATACCGACATGCCACTTTTGGTACTTCACGTACTGAGGGATCTTGGGTAATTCATGATGACCATTTAGGCATCATGGGAGTGAGATAGGATTGTGTTTCACACCACTGGTAATCGTATGATACCATAGGTAGGTGCACGTTTTCCGCTTGTAGCTCCATTACCTGTTTGATCCGACTTTCAGGCAAATGCAAGATCTTTTGCCAATTCAATTCAATAGGACATACTGGTTGACCTCCAATACACTTTTGAGAACATGATTCGTTCTCCGGTTTTTACATCCACTCATCTCCCTTCCCCGTCGAAGTACGGATGTGGGGGGTGTCAATAGGGATGAGGTCCCAGTATAGTTGCTATATAGGTACTTGCCATATACTTTTGGCTCAAGTGCCCAACCAGGTAAAAAGGAGCTTTAGCGCGCGAGCTTCATGTTGAACTAAGGGCTAGAACGGGGCCAGGGCACACCTTTTCATCCGTTCGCAACAAAGACACAATCACAAACACACAACCACAAACATACACACAACACACAACCACAAACACACACACACACAAACACGCAACCACAGACACAACCACAAACACACAACCACAAACACACAAACACACAACCACAAACACACAACCACAAACACAACCACAAACACATCCACAAACACAACCACAAACACACAACCACAACCACAAGTACAAACACACAATCACAAAGACACAGCCACAACCACAACCACAACTA